GGCTATAAAGGAGGGCTGGAAAACTAAAATAGCATAAGGCCTCACTAGCAGCTGAAATCTGGTCCAATTCCATCCAGGTAGTCAGGCAAAGCCTTGGACAGGAAATGCCTCTTCAGCCCTGGCTGTACCAGACCTATCTGAAATCATAATCTGAATTTGTAGGCTGCCTTTGATGCACACAGAGGGGATTCATCAGGTGTAAAGAGGTAGCTACAACGTGGATGCCTACATCTGAGCAGAGGTCTGAGGTCAGAGAAGATATGTAGATATCTTAGACTGAAACTTACCAAATTCTGAAGCAGTCATCTAAAGTAAGTCACAGAATCACAGAACTGTTTGTGTTGGAAAAGACCTTTAAGAGTCCAATGGTTCCCCCAGCACTGCCAAATCCACCAATAAACCATGTCCCCAAGTGCCCCATCTCTATGTCTTTTAAATACCTATTGGGTTGGTGACTCCACCACTTGCCTGGACAGCCTGTTACAGTGCTTGTCAACCCTTGCAGTGAACACATTTTTCCTAATATCCAATCTAAACCTTCCCTGGTGCTGCTTGAGGCCATTTCTTCTGCTCTTATTGCTTGTTACTTGTGAGAAAAGTCAGGTGAATTGTTTCTGAAGGGTGCCTATTTCTTTCCAGTGGTTATACAGGGAAGCTGCACTAATTAGCCCTGATATAGGACTGTCTATCAGGTGAACATCTCGGGCTTGGTGTAGTCAGTCTCATTTCAAGACACTGCCTTCAACCTGGAGTCCTGCTGGTGCATGAAGAGCCACATTCCTTCAGGTCAAAAGGGGCGATGACACACAGGAGATTTTCACTCTGTGTTTCAGTGCTGATCTCTTATTCAAGGCCACTTTGTGTAACTGTGGTAACCTGGCAAAATCTCTGGACTCAGTACTGAGAGTCCTGAGCCCCCATGGCTCTCGTGCTGACTCCATCCTAGCCAGCACGTACGAACGCATGACAGGCATTGCTGAACACAGGCATTCCTTTGTGGGAATACTGCCGGGCCATAGATACAAACTCTGCCCCACAATGTATTTGAGTATCGAGGATTTATTTCACATTTTTTTCCATGCTTTTCTGAAAGAAAAGCCCTTCCATGTGAGAGCTCTTCTGATTTAGCGTGACGACTTCTGCAGTGAGTTGTCACTATTCAGCTGGTGGAGCTACCCTGAGAACACATATATCCATTCCTGGGAAAAGATCCACCAGCAAGTGAATTTTGTTTGCTAAGCTTGTTCATATAAATTAACAGCATGACAAGCACCCAGAAGAGAAAGAGATGAGCCCCATGCTGGTGGTTCCCTAGCTAAGGATTGCTAATCCCACAAGGCCATTGTTTGAGGATGAGAATTCACTGTAAAGCCTGGTCGACTTTGCTTTCCATGAACAAACAGAGGGTCTATGCTCTGGTCCTCTCTCACCTCAAAGATTTACATGCAGGGAGTAACTTTGGCTTCCTTCTCCTGGCTGTGTGAATCAGAGCAAAATGCTTCCCTCCCTGCCAAAAGTGTAACAACCCTTATCTGAACCTTTCTGACCTCCTTGCTCTTTGTTTCTCCACACTTTACTTAGGTTCCTGTCCTTTACCAGTACAGTTTTGCTGTCCTCTTTGGTCTCAAAACTCCTCAGTAAAACCAACTGATCAAGCAATCCTTCCTTCCTTCCTCCCTGTCCTTTGATTCTCCTGGGCTTTAGCTGTGTCTCGGCAGATGCCGATGAACCTGTTCCCCCAACAACCAAGCAACCAGGGCTTTAGAAAGCCACCTGCAGAAGCTTGTTGTAAGATGAGAACTAACATCACTCCCATCCAGTTGCCAGACATCCCACCACTCCTGCAAGACATAGGGCACTCCTCTTGCTTTCATGTATTGCTCTAAAGCAATGTAAATGGATATTAGCAGAGTCTCATAAAATGACATTGCACGACAACAGCCATGGGGCTGCACAAACAGTTCTGATGACTTCCTACATTCCTATTGTTCTCAGCTTCCAGAGGAGCCCTAGATGTCAACCTGAAGTCAGAGAGGCTTCAGTTAGCTGTGCAAGTGTACAAGAGCAAAAGCAATTTCTTCTGAACTCATGCTAACATCCTAATAAAATTCTCCTTCTTTGACACAGCACTGTGAAATTTTTGGTCTTTGAAGTAAAGACACTAGACATCAATGTTAAACCCCAAGGAAATATGTGTCAAAAGACAAAGCTTCAACAGTGCTACAGAGATTTAAGTAAGGGAGGAGAATTCCTTAAAGCCTGTGAAACTTCCTCTTTGAAGCATGATTTTTCCAAGAAGCCTTTACTTAAAAAAACATGCTTCCCGTTAGATGTACTTCTGGAGCAACCTAAAAACTGTGGCAACCTTGGTGGGTATGCTGCCCATCAACATTGCTGCAGGCATGGTAAGGGTAGAAAACAGTTTTATGGTCACATAAAAGGTGAAAATGGTTCCTCTGTAACGTCTCCTCTTCACAAACTGCAATTTACTGTTCTTGCCTGAAGCTTCATGTCTCCAGTCATTACCCAGTGTGGCTGAATTGTACATTTACTTCAAGTAGAGGGAAAAACCCACATGATTACTAAATCCTGATACAGTAAACAGCTTTCTCTGTAATGAACATCTGGCACATCCAGTCACTTGTGTTACTATCTCACCAGTTAGGACCCCCAGCACCAACTTCATCTTCATCAGCTGTGATGCTTGAGAGAGGTAATGCAAGAAAGGTATCTGCAAACACAGGCAAGCCTTTAGCAATGATATAATAGGTGTTATGGGCACCCAGCACATTTGTAATGAGGTATGGTACAGCATTAGTTAACTCTGCTTTCCATCTCATGGAAGCAGGTAAGAGGAAACATTCATTTTATGGTATGGATGTGGACTGCCTAATTTGGTCTCTTCACAACTTTTCCTTCAGCCCCTGCTTTAGCTGCCAAGCCAGAACTGAAAGTGCTGGGTAACAGATATGTGGGGCCTTTCCAACTTCAGCCAGCTGGCTGGAATTGCTTTCTTCTCCGCTTTCTTGCCCACTGGCAGATCTGTGGATGGACATGGGAACTCTTTACATGCTGGGAAACTTTTTCAACTTCTTGCCAGCATCTGACATCAACAGGGGAAATACACAGTAGAAAAGCCATGGTAAGTTAATGCCCATTCATAATGCTTGAGGCATCTGGCCTTCCCATCCAATTCGTTTTGTAACTCAGTGTAACAATCCACTCATTACTACCACAAATAAGAGCATAATCCCATAATCAGTCTGTTTTTACACACTGACCTTTCAGATGCCAAATACTGACTTTTCCCCTGTGGATTTCCCTGTGGATTGCAATTCCGGAACAGGAGAGGTCACTCATTTACTGTTTTATGGATCTGTAGTCCTAATGGACTGTCTCTTGGCTAAGATCCTGAGAGAACTTGTCTCCACTGTGCTGCCAACTCTCACAAAACAATACAGATGGCAATATTTATGCTTGTTGAGTGGTCTTTAAAATGAACATGAGAGTGGCTCAGTAGCACCAGCTTTTACTTGTTCAGCACTCCTAAAATGTGCGTTTGGCTCTTCCTCAGTCAGAGGTTTTCCTGCTTTCCATGGGATCCCTGCCCGTGCATGGAAAACTTGGTCCCTAGGCAAGATGCGTGGTAACAGAGCTACATGTTCTTATGTCCTTAATGAGTTAGTTATGTTTTTTCTCTTTTAAATTTGCCTAAAAGTCTTTTGCACTCACAGTTTTGCGTAGTCCTAAGAACAGGTGGATCTGGATTGTATATACTGGAAATGTTCAGTGCATCTCTCTCTGCATCTACCCTTACGGTTTGAAGAACCCAAAATGTAGACTAAGAGCTCTTCTCCTGGGAGGGAGCAGGCCAGTCCTGCAGTCATGAGGCTTTATGCACCCTTGATTTGTCCTAAGATATCTCCACCACTAAATATGTGGACATAACAGAATAGAGTCTCTTCTCTTGAGAGACCTCCCTTGTCATTGAAGTTAAATGGAAGACAATCACTATGCAGGGGGAAAAAACTTAACTTAGGGGAGGAAACTCAAAAGTAGGTCTTCATTTTTTGTGGGTAGGATGGAATGAATGGGTGCGATGTCAGATGTAATATAACACTGGGATGGAAAAGCTAACTGGAAAAGACAGTAACACTGCACTAGCTACTTCTAGACGTGAGCTATCCATTAAAAGTAAGTCAAAGCCCTCAACTTAATTCTGTACATATGCCATCCTAACCCCCAGCCTCTCTCTGGGTGTTTTAAAACTGCAGCAGCACTTTTGTCTTCTAAGAATATATCTCCCTGGGAGGCAAAAACGCTTGGAGTACACAAGAGCAGCTTCTAGCAGATTTCAGATACTAAACAGGTCCTTTCAAAATTCCCAGATGGAGAGAAATTCCCCCACACTGCCATGACCTTCATTAAAACCTTTGTAGTCCTGTAGTAGTTTAGTCACATAGTGAATATGTTCTGTGCCCATACAGAAGCCAGCTGGTTGCCACAAATGCCATCATTTGCTATTTGCAGGTAATTCATTACGTGGTTGAGTCCAGGAGGCAAATACGACAGAGCTATACCGAGATTAATTTGGTTCCTGACATAACCCACACCCTGGGCACAATCCACAGGAGATGGATGGCTCATTGGCAAGGAAGTGTTTAAGAAGTCTTTGTTCTGCAGCCCTACCCAGCTTGGACATTCCAGGAGTTCAAACCCCACAAATACAATGTAAACACATAATGTCTGATCTTGCCCACATACAAGGTTTCTCTGTGGGCAGCTATGGGTGTGCAGTAGTCATGTAGTAATGTGGCTACTACTTATTTGCACTTGCGTGAGAAGAGCTGTCAAAGCCAAAGAGCTCAAAAGAAACCACTTTAAAAGTGTTTGTTTGTCCAGAGGTCTTTCTACAGCATGAGAAACCAATAGCCTCATTTCCTGCCCTCTAGGGAACAGGTTATCCATAGCTGCATCCTATGGGAAGGGCTTGCACTTACCTGACACAAAAATACAAAACAACCGGTCCCGACTTCTTGGGGAAGTCATGTTCCAACACCCGGCGGTCCAGCTGGAGCCAGTTCAAGTGTCCCCTGGCAAGAGAAGAGACAGCATTGAGCCCAGCACCAAAGAGGTTTCTCACTACTCATGGCAATGAGGTCTCAGGTGTTTCAAAAGATGAACTGGATTGCATGCCATTTGCCCTTGGCTATTGCCTGGTATTTGAAAACCACACAGTACATGTTTGAGGAGTGGAGGCGATATCGTCCTGGCAACATTTCAGGCTGGGAATCGAACTGCTAAAGTTCAATCTGTCAGGGCGAAAGCGCTGAGCAGGCAGGACAGCCCAAAATGTTATGAGCTTCACCTTTTTATTACAACCCCCTGGAGCACTTGTATCATTAAAAGTCTGTCAAGATTTTCATTAGAAACCCTTGTTGCTGGGGGTTTTCTCAACCCCTGCAATATTTCACTCAAGGCTAAACCTGACTCTACAGCCCCAGACAGTTTATTTACCACCCACGAGACTGCAGTAGCCTCTCTAGCTTTGCCCAGCCTTCGTTTTTCCTCCTTCAGAGAGCTCCTAAAAAACAGCTGCTCTATGAAGCGTTCCAACTCCAATTACCACATGCTGCTTTTCTCTTGCCTAGATGGTACCTGTCGCTATTATTTTCTCCTATAATTTATCCATTCGTGCCTTGCTGCTGGAAGCTTTGCTGGGCAGAAGCTCTGTTCTTTGTCACGTTCCCCACACTGCAGAGCTCTGTGTGTGTGAGAGAGGTATGTTATAAATACCATTATTTGTATTACGGGGCATCTCACACCCCAGCTGAGGTAAAGGCCCTGTTAAATTAGGCACTGTGGAAATACATAGGGTAAAATTCAGGCTCCACTGAAGCTGATGGGAATTTTGCCATTGCCTTTGGTGGTGCTGGGGCTGCATCCTGTGAGCATTTTGCTATTGGTTTCAGTCAGATCGGATTTCACCCAGAGGGAGAGGCAGCCCTTGCCTTCGGTGTTCTGCCGTCTAGACAAGCAAGGGGAGAGAGAACTGAAGTGATTTTGGGGAGAATCTTGCAGCAAATGAAGCAGGAAATGGAATTCAGATGTCCTGAGATCTATTCCAGTGCCTATTCCCCAGCTAATCCTCAAAAATAATTCTTTATTCCACTAAAAAAAAAAAAGTGGAAAAAAGACTTGTTTCTTGAAAAAAATCATTAAATTAACTTCTAGGGTTGCCACAAGCCTTAGCAATGTACCCTGTCAGCAAACACACTCAGCTTTCACAAGGGTCTGCCCATTATTTCTTAGCGGTGTTTGTGCTTTTGACACCTTTGGAAAGTAAGAAACAACCTCTATTCAGCAATGCAACTGGATTTGTAGCTTCCCCACTCCATCTTCTCTGGAAAAATAAAGGGGAAAACAGCAGTTTAAGGAGGCTTTGAATCACCTGAATTTCTGTACAGCTGCCCTGGCTTGTGACGATGCAGAAGAGTATGGGCAGCTCAAGGACCCTCCAGCACTTCCAAACCAAACCTTCCTATGATTATATGATTCAGTCATTCAAAATTACTTGTGAACCCCACTGGTCACTCCAGTGAGTTCAGAATCATCAGACATTTAACTTACATAGAAGCCATCTCATCTCAGATTTTACTGTATAGAAGTCAGATATTCAGTTTAGGGAGCCTTTGCATCTGTTTTACAAGAGTACTAACTCTCAGCTAGGTACAAGCAATACATGTGGAGTTGGGGACTTTTCAAGCTCATCCTGGACATCTGTAGGTTTACAAAAAGGATCAAAGCCTTTTTTATCCCCTGCTCTAGACACCTGTGTGTTTCTTTCCAAGATATTTTAACTTTTAGTCAGTTTTTTTCTGTAGATAAATTTTTGAAGTAGTAATTTAATCTATCTCTTTTGCAGCGTATGGGCTGAGGGCAAGTCTGGGACAGTGCTGTGCAGTGATACTGCCCAGGATCGGGTGTAAGGGTGGCTGTGTTAACTGGGATGGGTGTATGGACTAACTGGTTGTGTTCTGCATGTGCAGCATGATGGGGTCTCCTTCAGTCATTTCTGCTGCTGGGATGCAGTCACCCAGCTCTAGTGTGAGATCTCTGCATTGTGCCCTGTTCAGCACAGATGAGGCTTGGTTTTTAGAAAACAGATGCTCCAGGCTGCTAGAAAATAAGCCCCACTGAAAGATCCTCAACCTCAGCATCCAAAGATTATAGCGTCCATATTTCCCACTGCATCACCTTCTTGAAATCTATCCTTTCTCCTAATTCTTTTTTTGTCCTTAAGTGCTGTTCTATTTCTTTTAACAGGACTCAGGAAGTCTGAAATGAACTGTGAAAGCCAAAGTACGCATGGGGATTGAAACTAGACGTGCTCACCCATTCCGAGCCAACATACAAAATAAGCATTTAACCATGTAGGCCAAGGTACAAAACACTGTCAGAGCAAGGAAAAGCCACACTAAGCCTGACATCCTATCCTGAACCTGTCCAGCTGCATTTATATCACCAAAATAGCAGCCACCAGCAGCTGATGGCATTACACACCGATTCCCTCCAAGACTGATTTGTTGACAATGGACTTACTGTCTACCTCTATGTTTATTCAACGGCAATATCTGGGTTTCCCTACCAGGTACAGCAAAGGGTTGAGAAGCCACTTTGCACAGCACAGTAATTCACTTCAGGGTATTTCTTATTTTGAAAATACTTGTTCTTTTCATTCTCCCTGCATTTGAACTTGAGAAACTGGTTGATATAATCAGTAAAAAAGAAATATATGCATATATATATGCATACCAGGTTACACATTTATGTTGCACACGTACACAGTTGTGTGTACTGAATAACACAGTTAATTGCCACCGAGTTCTGGGGTTTAAGAGTTTCATTACTCTCATCTGCATGGAGCTTAAATTCAAAGCTCCTTCAGAGGAGGAAGGTCACTTAAATCACTGCCAGGAGCAAACTGCTCACTGTACTCAATTACCACTTACAGTCTTTCATCAGTGAGGGCTTCTGCACTGCAGATTGTCACCTAACTCCTTGTTTCCAAGTGTGCATGTGTGGCATGTAGAGAGCAGCAGCAATGAGCAGTTGCTGGCATCTGCCTGAGAACGTGGTCTATCAGGGAGCCAAACTCCAATGACATTACACCACAGAAGGCTTTGCTCTGCAAGCTGCCTTCCTGTCTTCAGAACTATTCATGGAGCACAATCCCATGTAAGACAAGGAAAAGTATGGGCATATAACCCCAGGCATGTAGCAATCCTAACAGTTTTCATGGACCAATTTAGGCAGCTTGTACTAAACCATTCATACATGCTTATGTCTAGCTGGATTTCCTTCATGGTTCAATTTAGAAACACAAAGCTTTTGTTTCATTATCACCATTGATTTGTTCATTTGGGCATTTATATCAGTGTGTTCACAAATAGTGGTGCAAACAGTTTTGGGTGACTACAGAGAGTTTGAACTGGAAGCCAGATCATTTATCTCTGTTGGCTGTACTCATGCTGGCAGTTAAACTGGTGTGTAGATAGCAAATACATAATTGCTTTTAGAAGAAGAAACTGCATCCATTTAGGTTACAGACTGAGTATGGATTTTCGTGCCCGAGGTTCATGTTGTCGATTACATGCAGTAGTTCTGTTTTCTTTTATCAGGGCTTTCAGTAAAGGGTGGTACATCGATGAATCCTTTGCCTCCAGGTGGTTCTGGTTATGCAGCTTTACTGTTGAGTGTCCAGTTTTCTGAAAAGCAGATCCACATTGGTCTGTATTTTAAAGGTATTTGGGCTAATAAACCAACTCACACCTCTTCAGTCTCGAACCCATGTTGAGTTGAATGGGCATTAAGAAAGACCCATTCACATAATAGAAACCATATAAACAATTTTTCATTTCCGTCAATCACTACAGAAACGAAAATTCCTTTAAACTCACAGATTTTCTCATTTAAGATCTTAAACCTTTAACAGAAATACTTTTTTGAAGGGGCTGCAAAGCTCAAGGAGCCATGAGTTTAACTGTACAGCTTTTGCAAAATGGGGGACTTGGTGACAAAGGAACTGGTCTGATGCCAGAGCAGGATGAGTTCTGAGAGCTGCACCCTCCGTTGGGCTGGCTGTTCAACCAGGACATGGATGCCTGGTCGCCTGTTTTGGCATTGCCACATAGCTGTGGGGTGGAAATAGGCTTCCCCCCAGTTCCCAGGTATGAAGGAGTATTCCAGGGAAGAGTGGTACACTGCTCTTCCCTTGCCATCCCCTTGGTCTTGGGCTGAGCAAGGGCACTCTCTGTCATCTTGTCGCATTAGTACAGTTTCTAGCACAAGTGTAACACAAACAGTGTGGCCTCAATGCCTTGCAGCTTTGCCGTATATATTAGCTAGCTGAAGAAGATGCTCTGCAGGTTCTCCTCTGGCAAGGGAGCCAAAAGCTGACCCATGGAGAGGGCGAGCTGTGGGATGCAAAAGTTGGGAGTTCTTCACGGATCAGGTGACTCACATCTAAGGACAATAAAGGACATGGAAAACCTGCCTGTGGCCCAGACTGGCAGCATTACCCTTCTGCAGTGAATAGAAGGGGAATCCTGACCACTTGCTCTCAGTAATGCTGGAAGAGCTGATGCCAAAGGAAAGGGCAGTTAGTGGAGATTCGTAGATTCTAGCTACAACTATCTGAAAGAAGGATGTAGACAGGAGGTGGCTGGTCTCTTCTCCCAAAGAACAGCTGATAGGATAAGAGGAAATGGCTTCAAGCTTTGCCAGGGGAAATTTAGACTGGATATTAGGGAAAATGTCTTCACTGCAAGGGCAGTCAGGCATTGGAACAGCCTGCCCAGGAAAGTGGTGGAATCACCATCCCTGGAAGCGTTCACAAACCGTGTAGATGAGGCCCTTAGTGACATGGCTTAGCAGTGGATTTGGCAGTCCTGGGGGAATGGTTGGACTTGATGATCTTAAAGGTCTTTTCCAACCTAGCTGATTCTGTGTTTCTATGATTCTATAAATAGCTGAACTGAAAAAGAAAAGCCCTTTCCCCATTCTTTTCCAGTCTTAGTCAAGCAGCACACAGGTCTTCTGGCTTTATGTGAAGCTTGGCCCCACGTGCTGTACAGGGACACCCTTTTGACCTGTGCTCTCTGCAGTTAATGGCTCGCACCATAAAGTGTTCCTATGATCATTAAAATAGGAGGCGGTATTCCCTCCTGCATAATAGTCCGACAATCTAATTTTAGTCACGCTGAATGCGGTAATGACCTTATATTATCACAAGAAACTATTAAGTTGCCAACGCAAAGGTTGTTCTCATTGATTTTCTTCTTAGGTTGTCATGATAGAGCACAACTAATGAATGGAAATCCCCAGTCCAAATAATTTCTAAATAAATTACTCTCTCAAAGCTTTTACTCTTAAATAGAAGAATTGATTTAATACTTTAGTGGCTTTTCTTCTTTCTAAACTTGCAATTTAGCCAACCCCAGACTACATTTGTGAACCGGGCTTGTTCTAGTTTAGCTGGTTACATGTTCCCTTCAAGGAAGCCACACAGAAACTCAGTGAAGGGTGAAGAAAATGAAATCCCTGAGGGCCAGTGCCACAGAATTAAAGGGTTTCTCTTTGTGTCTGTATCAGCTGTAGGGCTGTGTTAGGTGCTCTGCAAACACGCACTAGGAGACTGTTTTTCCTACTTTTTGAAGGAAGTTTTTTTTGTTTAAACTCCCATTTCACATTGCAGGCTAAGATCACAGACAGCCCATTTGATTTTCTGACGGTGACATGGGACACCCATTTCCAAGTCCACACACCTCTCCCTCTGCCTCCCGGCCCCCCCCCCCCAATATGTTTTTGACTGTGTTCAGTCAAATAAAACAATCACTTTTCGTGCCAACTCTATTCAAAGCTTTTTATAACTGAAGAGGAAATATTTTTGTCAATGATATTTTCACAGCACTGAAGGAGCCTCAGTGCAAAAGTCAGACTCACTATGGAATGGCAGAAGGGCTGCAGACCAAGCTTTGCATCTGCTAGGACTTACTGGCATGTTTCTGGGTTGCATTTACTAGATTTAATGAGGCCATCCCCAAATCTTTCATCTGGGCTGACTGAGCATCTCCTAAAATGCAGCTTGCTACATCTTGACTGCAGGGCAAGAAGGTGAGCAAGTGAGTGAGTGGATGCCATCACCTCACCCTTTGTGACACTGTGCACCCATCTGCAACTGCTGCACATCTCTGAGCAGAGCCTTGACAACCCCTGTCAGCTTCCCGTGCTTCCTCCCGTCACTAACCCAGATCTTTGCTCATGCTGCTCCATGATAAACCTGGAATCCCAGGGGAGGGTGGGCTCTCTCTAATTGCTGACACCTCCTCATTAGCTTCCCTTGCACTCCCAGGGGAGCCCTGTGCCCACTCAGCAGAGCTGAGAGCTGGGGCTGGCTCAGCTGCTCTCTGGTTGCAGTCTGACATGTGTTTCTTGTTTTGAACCTGTGCTGTTAGGACTGTTAAGGGAACATTTTAATCTCTTAGGCTGCTTTAGCTTCCCTGCATGGCTCTCCTGCACCCCTCAGACAGAACCACTGAGTAATTTGGCTCTCTCCAATCAGAAATAACACTTTGGTGAGGAACCATTTCCTCCTGCTTTTATCAGTTGCCACTGCCTCCTGCTGTTCCTCTTGTAAGGACCAGCCCTATTAATATGTGTTGGGTTGGAGATCTACAGAGTTCAGCTGCTCATGTCAGTGAGATGGGATGGATTCTGGGATCTCTTCTGTTTTGGGTCCTGCTTCTGCGTGTGCCTGATGGCAAGAGCTTCTTCATCCTGGGAGCTGTGTCCTGAGATGCCCTTAGGCTGCCCAAGTCAGGCACTTGCCAAAGGAACTGGCTTTGAGGGGCAATCGCTGACGAGATGAATGTGGATATGTTTGTGCAGTTATCCAACAGCCTCTGATTACCCGGATCATTATTCCAGTGGGAGAATGGAGCAGGCTCATGACAGCAATATTGCTGACTCAGCTGTTCTGGGAGCACAGCATTGGCTTGAAAATTTTGGTTTTTTTAAAGCAGTGTAGGTGCAGGAAGCCTCTTTCTGATTAATATATCAAAAATGCCTTATTGCAAACCAAGGTGGAGCATGTTGGGTACACAAACAAGACATAGTCCGTATGCCTAAGACAGTCTAACTACAGAGAAAAACCAGGCAGCTGTAAAAAAAGCACTGAGAGGTCACAGTCTAGGACTAATCATGGCATTTGGCAGCCTTTCAATGTTTCTTCAGGGCTAATTTTATACTTGCCTTTTAAAGAGGGGGTAGAAATGGCCTGCCTCAGTACAAAACCTCAAGTTTTATGGTAATACTAGAACTCTGGGAGCTGGGGCACAAGGTGAACAACCAACATTGCCTGGGGTGACTGCAGTGTCAGGGTCCCATCCTTGCGTTCAGCTCAGCAATAAGGCTGTTGTGGGATTCCTGATAAGGTCAGGTCCTTCCCACATTGATATTTTATGTTTAAAAATGCTTGTCATTCGCATTAATTTGGCAGTGCCTTCCTTTCCCACACTTTCTTCTTTCCCTTTTAAAAGAAACTTTAATCCGAGATCTAAAACATCAGAAATAACAGAGCAATTCTATGAGGTTGGTTCTGGGTTTTGTTCTTCCCTTGTAATAATCTAGCATTACTTTTAAGGCTGCTTCAGTGAATAAACTGAGTAACACTTTAATTGAACAGTTCCGCCGGCCTGGTAATGATTTTGTATAGTGAGTGGATCTTAAGCCCATGAGAGCTTAAGCTAACATTTCATCAATGCCACATGACACCAGCTCTTTGAACATCGGATTAGGAAGGGATTGGTACTGTCTCTGTACACCTCCGGCCATGCTTAACTTGCTATGAGAGGCTTCCAGCCTTCTGAAGAAGAGGCAATACAGGACAGACTCCCTTGGTCTGTAGACCTTAGTTTAGGACGCAGATCTACACTGGTCATTTTGCTTAGGACAAAACCACCAAGTTTTCCCATGATCCAGGGGTTGTCTCTTGGGTCTTTAATTTCTTGCACTTACGTTTCATCTGTGAATGCAATTCCAAAGTACTCCTTCTCCTTCAGGTTGAAATGAGATGCCACCAAATCAAGCAACTCCTTGGCCAAAAGCTTTGGCTGGAAAACAAGAATGAAAGGAAGTGATTAATGAGGAGAACTCAGATAGTACTGCACTATGCTTCTGGAGGGAAACGCTATCTTTGAAGGTACCCCACTGCTATTGCTTTTATGTTCCTGCTGGTGTTCAAGCTGAAGCTGCAAGCAACATTAACTCCTCAAAATGAGAAGTAGTTTCCCTCCTAGGAAATACTAAAAACCTGCTTAATGTTTCTGCAGACAGATGAGCTACTGCCTGCCAGTGCTTAGGCCTACTATGACCAGCTCCTTCATGCCTCTCTGATAATTTTAGTTGTTAAAGCTGTTTATCAAGGACCTCTGCAAACACATTTCAGACACCCACTCTCACACACGCAGCGCAGATACACGTTCATAACACTAAGAAAATACATACTGCCAAAAGATAGGATGTGACAGGACCAAATGAGAAGTAAATGACAGAACAAAATAGTTTCCCATTCAGTATTGCTTGTCGTTTAGAGATAAGGTTATATCCTCAAATTTAAGCACTTGGAAAGGAGGAAAGTAACACACAAAATACTATTTGTAAGAGCGTGAAAGCGCTTACAATCTCAGGGAAACTATTCACTCTATATGGAGACAGTGCATTACTACCTTCTCTACAAAACCTTATTTGACTTTTAAGTATAATGTTTCCTCCTTCCTCTATGAATTCTCACCAGCTCTGCTGAGTCCCTGTTTTTCCTTCTGGACTACTGAATTCTTGTCCACAACAAAGCTCTTGTCCTGACCATCACTGGTAGGAAACAGGGGTACAAAAGATCCAGGTAGATGCAGCCTGTTTTGCCCCAGCAGCACTGGCACACCTGGGGTGAGAGATCCCAATGATGTCCTAGTGCAGTTGCCAGCACTATCCAGACTGCTTCTTTATGCACACAATGCAAGGATGGTTTCTAGGTCACACCAGGAAAGAAAGAAGCAATAGCTGTGCCTAAACGCAGAACTATCTTAAAGCAGCCTCCAAAGAGGAGATAAGTTGCTGTGCAGGAGTAACAGCTTGGTGGATAACAAATAGGTGGGATGCAACTAGCTTCATTTTAATTCCCAAATCAGACTTCTCAGGCACAACCATTGGTGTCTCTGCTATGTCTATACTGCCTGCTGCAGTGCCTTTCAAGGGCTTCTGAAATAGCTCATGAAGTGTGCTTGGAGCTGAGTAGACCGGGCACGGCACCATGGTCATGTCCTTTGTCTCCTTGAGTCCCTCCAGGGACCCAAGCAAAGACCACACCAGCTACACCAGTCTCTTTGGAGACTCCTAAGACATTTCTCTTCACCCATGGGGTGCCCTGGGGTGACTCAGTTACTTGAGAAATGAGAAATGGTGCTGCCAAGCAAGGAAGCGAGCCATCAGCCAGCCTTGCTTGTGAATGCTCCATCCCTGTCAGTGTTCAAAGCCAGGTTGGACAGAGCCTTGGGTGACATGGTTTAGTGTGAGGTGTCCCTGCTTCTGGCAGGGGGGTTGGAACTCGGGCTGTTCAGCATGGAGAAGAGAAGGCTGCGTGGAGACCTCATAGCAGCCTTCCAGTATCTGAAGGGGGCCTATAGGGATGCTGGGGAGGGACTCTTCATTAAGGACTGTGGTGATAAGACAAGGGGTAATGGGTTAAAACTTAAACAGGGGAAGTTTAGATTGGATATAAGGAGGAAATTCTTTCCTGTTAGGGTGGTGAGGCACTGGAATAGGTTGCCCAAGGAGGTTGTGAATGCTCCTCCCCTGGCAGTGTTCAAGGCTAGGTTGGACGAGGCCTTGGGTAATATGGTTTAGAGCAAGGTGTCCCTGCCCATGGCAGGGGGGTTGGAACTTGATGATCTTAAGGTCCTTTCCAACCCTAACTATTCTATGATTCTATGGTTCTATGAGATGTCCCTGCCCATGGCAGAGGGGTTGGAACTTGAGGGATCTTAATGTTCTTTCCAACACAAACTGTTCTATGGTTCTATGATTCTATGATACAGCCAACTTCCTCACTTCTTTCTTATTTCTGCTGAGTGAAGCCTGGATGCTGATGGTCAGCATGGTGATGGCTTCCCCTTCCCCACTGGCCAGTGGTGGCTGCTGCTCTTCCAGCACAATCTCTTCCTGCCCATGGGGCTTGGCAGGGGCATGATCTCCACTGCATTTCCCCACTGGCCTTGCCATGGTGCTTCCTCCAAAGTAGCAGATAAGGCAGGATAACTCTTTGCCTTACAAGATAAGGGAAAAGAACAATACAGCACTGGAGCAGTGCCAGGTTAGTTACTGGACGAGAGCCCACCAGCAGTGAAGTTAAACCCCACTAGTCCCTTCCAAGATTACTTTCTGCTTTTCTCTTAAGCTCTGCAAGCTCATTGTCCTTTCATTTCCTGTGTCCTCCCAACACAGATGAGCAACCCGAGTCTCAGAAGGGAGAAGAAGGTGTCTTCTCCAGGTAGTGAAGACTCCTCAAAACAGGCCTGCAGAGCAGGGATAAGGGCAGGAAAACCCTGCCAGGCACAAACTGAGCTGTAGCCAGTCTGCCTTGTCTCAGGGGAGATCTGTGTGCTCGCTGTTAACAGTTAATCTGCTTGCTGTTCGGGATGGGAACGGCTGAGCAATGACCTCCTTTCATGTGAGCCATACAGACAAAGAGCTCATTAGCAATGCCTGTGGCAAGTTGTTTTAATTCATTATTAATTCCTGGACTTCGTTTTCCAGAGGGATATTCATTTTGCATTAATAAAACTTCCATCACAGACACATTGAAGAAGATGGGGTCTGCTCTCTGAGAGCAGGGAAATCGATAGAAAGTGGGCCCAAGATCTTCTACATCCAATATAAGTGGTCAGCAAGATAGCTGCGAAACCCACAGCCACAGGGATAATCAGGAATAACAAGTGTCATTCAAACCAGAAACTGAACTGTGTCCTCAGTGCTTCAGAGCTGGACCATGGTGTGTTGTGTGCTGCCTGGGCAGCTGCTGAGACCCCTCTTTGTGTCAAACATGACACTTTCCATAAAAACTTAGTTCCTCAATAGTGGGTCAGAGGATCCACCTGCCAGCCATGATGGCATCAGTGCATCATCCAGTGGATTCCTGGTCATCTGTGAAGTGTGCAGCTCTTCTGTGAAGTCAAACCTGACTTGGGGACACTCTAAGGTTTCTCCTTTGCCCCTTGGAGAGACAGAAGAGCAGATATGGACTTACTAGGTCTACCTCCTTATTGTCAGAATGACCCAGACATCCTTCACTGTGCCCTGGGTCATGTTTGAGAGGCTTGTTTGAAATGCTGCACAATGCAAAGTACTTCTGCCTCAAAAGTGAGGACAGTAGCAAGCATATGGTCAGGGTTCTTCTGCAACCCCAGCTCCTGCAGCCTTGAAGCAGTGAACTCATCCTCTTCCTCCTCTCCTAAACAGCTTGCGTTTGTTCAAATAATGACTTAGAAGAAAGGGAAAGCTTTATTAGTGGTGCTGGGATGTGTCAGGGAAAGAGCTGAGCATCACCAGTGGATCTGATTTGAACTCACACCAGGAAAACTTATGAAAAGGCACCAAAGGCAGTGCAAGAAGGCACATATGGGACCACAGGTGGCACTCCCAGCGCTGTCTTCCTGCATTCCCCCATTGCTCAAAGAACCCCATACCCTGGCTATAAGCACAGCCTGTGCTAAAGAGAACCAGACCAAGAAAACTTGAGTGCATGCAGTGCCCAAGCTCTGTCTTTATCTCCTTGGCTCTATTTTAAGGAGCATTCAGCACCGACAGATTAACCACAGGGGATGAGTCTCTATTCCTTGTGCTGTGCTCATCTCTGCAGAGACAATCCAAACGTGTGCACCCTATATGGGTGTCTGCTCCTAATTAAATATGAAGGCAACTTCCCTGAACAATGCCAGAGCACAGCAAACACTAACAGCAAGTAGGGAAGAGGAGATGAAGGCTGCATGAGGGAGGAGTGATATCAATTCAGTGTCAAAACCCTCTGAGTATCACAGCTCTTCCATGTATTTATTGGATGAACTCTCAGATGCATGAACCCTCTAACATGGACTCACTGGGGGAGCAGGGAGACCTCCCCAGTGCTACATAGAGGAAGAGGAGAAGGTGAGATGCAGGTGATGCACAGCAAGCTGTTGCTACACAAGGTAACATGCAAACCCCATTTTGATGTCTCCTAACACCAGTCATGGTCATTGTCACACAAGTTTAATGATCATACTGATATATCATGTATTTGCCATAGGATGGGAGGAGGAGGAAGAGGGACTCTGAGGAGAAGAATCTCTTGTAGTCTGGAGAAAGCTGGACTCCAAGCTGTGTGATGTGGTTGGCACACCTGAGGGATGGGATACCATTAAGATGGATCTGGACAAGCTTAAGAAGTGATGCCATGTGAACATCATGAGGTTCAACAAGGCCAAGTGCAAGGTCCTGCATCTGGATTGGGACAACCCCTGGTGTCAATACAGGCTGGAAGGGTGAAGCGATTGAGAGCAGCCTTATGGAGAAGAACTTGGGGGTGCTGGTGGATGATAAGCTGGACAAGAGCTGGCAATGTGCCCTCCCAGTCCTAAAGGCCAGTGGAATCTGGGGCTGCATCATAAGAAGAGTGGCCAGCAGGTTGAGGGAGGCAACTCTTTCACTCTGCTCTCTTATCATGCAACCTGGAGTCCTGTGTCCAGGTTTGGGGCTCCCAGTACAAGACAGACATGGACTTTTGGAGTGGGTCTAGATGAGGCCATAAAATGGTCAGAGGCTGGATCACCACTGCTAAGAGGAAAGACTGAGAGAACTGAGGTTGTTCAGTCTGGGGAAGAGAAGGCTCTGGGGACACCTTATTATAGCCTTTTAGTACCTAAAGGAGGCTTATAAGGTAGATGGGGACAGGCGTTTTAATAGGGCCTGTAGCAATAGGACAAGAGGTAATGTTCAAAATAGATATAAGGAAGAAATCACATATGATGAAAGTCATGAAACACTGGAACAAGTTTTCTTGAGAGGTGGTAGATGCCTCATT